TTTTCATCTAGTTAGTTTTTATGAATGTTATTCTGTATGCTGTAAATTTCAAATATATACTGTAGTCTTGAAATGACACATGAAATTTTACTTGCTATCTTCTGTAGTAACAGGTTAGTATTTTATAAATTCTTTAGCTAGCTAGTTCATGGTTTCTTCTACTCTGATAAACTTAATTTTGTGTTATTTATTAAACACTAGGAAGTGATAAAATATTTCTCATTTTCTTGGATAGTTTAAGAAGGATTTATAAATGTCTTACCTTTGAGCTGTCTAAAACATGAGTTGTTAAAGGCTTCTCTTTTTGGGGAAAGAAGCTTTAAAAAAGCTATAAAAGTAATATATGAGTGGAGACTAAGAGAATAATGGATATGAATAAAAATAGAAGAACATTTATTGAGTATCTACTAAGTGTCAAGCATTGGACCAACCTCTTTATGTATATTGCTTCACTTAATCTATGATAATTTGGGGTGGCAGATAAAATAATTAATAGGACAGAATTACTTCCATTATTTTTATCTGTGTCAATAACCTCATCTGTATCAACAGTGAAGATAAATATAAATCTTTACAATTAGATAATTTACTCTAAGTAATATTTTAAAGTGTGTTATTGTTAGTGGTAGTATTATTTAAAAACTAAGTGGATGAATGTGTAAGTTTTATTTCCTTATTGTAGGATAACCCCACGGTAGTAGTTGAAGATCTCAGGCTTTGCACAGTAAAGCATTGTGAAGACATAGAAAGACGGTTCTGCTTTGAGGTAGTCTCTCCAACAAAGTAAGTTATTCTGTAGGATTTCAAAATTGCTTTTATTTTCTGTAGTAGGTCTTAAAAAACTTCCCAGAATAGAGAAATTTGTGTTTGATTCATGAGTGTGTTGAATAAAAAAAAATGTTTTAAAAATAAGTGTCAATAATTAATGATTACAGATATTACAAGCAGATACTTACGTAACTCTCCCCTTATTTCATATTCCTTGAAATCTGTAAAGATTATTTATGTGCCCATAATAAAAAATTTTCAGCTGTTATGATAATAAGATACAATCACATATCAACCATCATTTCATACGGTCTCCAATTTAAAAAATTAGTGTTAAGGTTATGCTAAATTTAGAAGTTTATTTACTTTGATTTAATGTGCAGTGATGAATGATTTGTTTTCAAGAGATAATTCATTTCATTGGTACTTTGAATTCTTTTAAAGGTACTTAGTCCTAAAGATATATAAAATAAAACTTTTCAACAGAAATTATTTTTTGCTAGATAAATTATTAAATGTCGAAGTGGACAAAAAGTAAAGCTATAGGTTTCCTTTGTTTTTCCTTTCCTTTTCTTTTTTTTTTTGGTTAATTTAGTGACTGAGAAAACAATATTTTATTTCCTTTTAGGAGTTGTATGCTCCAGGCAGATTCTGAAAAGCTGCGCCAGGCATGGATTAAGGCTGTTCAGACCAGTATTGCAACTGCTTATAGAGAAAAGGGTGATGAATCAGAGGTTAGTAGAGTGTTATTTTGTCTAAAAGCTTTACATTTTAGTTTCACTTTTATATAATTATAACATCCTTTTTTATGGAGGGTGATTTTATGTAATTTAAGTGAGTTTTTAAAATCTAGATTCAATGTCTTATTTATCTCTATTTTTTTCATTATCAGTCTTTTATTTATTTATTTTTGTTTTAATTAGTTACACATGACAGTACAATGACCTTGACATATCATTCATTTCAATCAGATGGGATATAATATCTTATTTTTTTTGAGTATATAGGTTGCAGAATCACACTGGTCATGCATTCACATATATACACACAGTAATAATAATGTCTGTTTCATTCTACTATCCTTTCTATCTCCCCAACACCTTCCCTCCCCTCCCATCACTTCTCTCTACCTAATTAATCTAGGGTAACACTATTCTTTTTTTTTTTTTCCTCACATCTTCATTCATGTATTTTGTATAACAATGAAGGTCTCCTTCCACCATCCATCTTTTATTTCTCTTGATTTTATGTATCATTTTATTTTGATATTTGAATATATCTTTGTTTTAATATTTGAATATATTTTCCAGATTGGAATAAGGCATTCTAATATCTTGGTTTTTCCCCACAATATTTTACAATTTTAATTAATAATAAAATAGAATAATTATCACGAAAGGTTTTTAAGGTTAAAACTGAGTAAAAGCAAAAAAGAAAAATGAATCATTGTCTCTTTATTGAAGGCTCTCTGGGAAAGATAAGCTGAATATACAGTCGTGGGCTATACTCTGGCTTCAGGTTCCCAAAGAATCTGCAAACTCTTGAAAAATGAAACTCACTGCCATTGGGTCATCTGGCAGGACACAGGCATAGAGGTGGTGATAGACAACTGTTAGAAATATGGTTAGGGAAAGGGAGGGAGTACTCTCCAAGTTATATTTCAGAGCTCATTATAATCAATTTGTGACTCCCAAGAGTAGATCAAAGCAGATATCTTCCTGAGCAGGAAATGGGGGAATTCACTTGATCAAAACATTAAGACAGAGAGAGTAGAAATTTCAATAGCCTAGTTTACCTGGCCATGGTAGGATACAACTGATGGGAATATAGCAGAGACTTGTTGGTGCAGTTCACCCTCAGTATGATATTTAGTTTGTCACCTGAATCATACTTCTTTAGTTTGGATGAATGCCCCTTAAGCCTTGCAGCATACCTGTTAGTCTGGGATTTTCTTATACAACCATTTCTGTTGTCTTTTTTTTTTTTCCATATTCCACTTCTTTCTCTTTTTTGACTTAAGAAAAACTTCATACTTTCTCAAATATTTCCTGAAAGTGAGGCATTTGTAACTCTATGCATGCATGATAATGTCTTTATTCTGTCTTCAGATTTGTTTGATAGTTTGGCTGGGTATGGAATTTTTAGGTTGAAAATAATAGCATTGTATTTTTGTTTTGTTAAAGAAAAAAAAAGAGAAAAATAAAAAAAGTTCCCAGTGTTGCCATTAGAGTTTTTTGTTTTATTTATTTTTTTATGTTTTTATTTTTGTAGAGCTTTTCTTATTACTGATATTTTGTATTTTTCCTCTTCAATTTCTCTGTTTTCTCTCTCTGGAATTTATGGGCTGGTATTGTGTTTTTTTTGTTGTGTGTGTGTGTGTTTTCTTTGTTTGTTTTTTTTTTGTGGTCTCTCTTAATCTTATTAACTTGTTGAATATTTCCATGTTCCTAGCATATATTTAATTTCCAAGAGTTCTTTTTTGTTCACTGAATGTTTTTAAAAATAGACCTGTTCTTTAGATATGGTTGCAGTGTTAGAGCTGTAGTTGTTAGCCTTCACTGTACACTGTGAATAACTTGGGGAGCTTTAAAATTTTTTCAGTGCTTTGGTATATCCCAGAACAATTGAATGGAATGGGACCCAGGCGTCAATATTTTGAGCAGCCAAAATATTGAGAAGAACCATTGTGTTGTATGTTTTCCTTGACTGTGGTAATTTGCTCATGATGATAAGTTAGGACTGCATATTTCTTAGAACTTCTGAATACATAGATAGGTAGCACTTTGTTGACTGAAAGCATGTCCTAAGTGTAAAATGTTTGTTAAGCAACAATCATAGTCAGGATCTTTGGAGTCTTTTTGCCTGGTATGGTTTTCCATAGAAAATTCCCAGATCTCCCATATAGAGGTAAGGGATTGGGTATCTCAACATTCAGTATGTAAATATATACTAGTTCCCTACCTTTCACCTTTCAGGTGAACTCCGTTTGGAGATGTTTTACTCCTATGACTAAGCTTTTGGTCATTTGTGTTTATGTATAGAGGGTAGTCCATTAATGGCATAGGATTAGGGAGGGGACCCTGAGATCTGTTTCTTAAACAATCATCCCTTCAACTTTCATGGGTGGACATCACGTTCAATGCTATATTCTTTGAGGTGGCTTGCCCAGTTATGCTATATTATGGTACTTAGCTTCTCTAATGTGGTATAAAAACATTAGCATAAAGACAAAAACTAGGAAAGGAACCAACATGATTTCTGCATTATAAGACTGACATCCTTTTCCTGTATGATTATTGCCTATGATATTTTTCAGATATAGAACAGATCTTATAAAACAGATCTATTTATCTATCTATCTATCTATCTATCTATCTATCTATCTATCTATCTGTCTGTCTGTCTATCTATCTATCTATCTTTGTGATACTGGCTATTGAACCAAGGGGCACTCAACCACTGAGCTATATCCCCAGCCCTTGTTTTATTTTTTATTTTGAGATAGGGTCTTTCTAAGTTGCTGAGTCTGGTCTTTAACTTAGGATCCTCCTGCCTTAGCCTCCTAAGTTGCTGAAATGTGCCTCTATGTCCAGCTATATTTTTTAAAACTTTGAAATAATCTCAAATTTACATACAAGTTCTAAGTACACTACAAAAGCCTTTCCCTTCTCAATCACTTGTGAATAGGTTGCCAACATGATGCCTCATCATTCTTCATAACTTTAATAAGTACTCTCACAACCCAAGATATCTCCTGCATAATTATGGTATAGCTATCCAAGTTAAGACATGAGCCTTGATACATTATTTCTATTTAATTCTCAAATATCATTCAGATTTAAACAGTTGTCCCAATAATGTTCTTTATAGCGAAAAGATTCACTGCAGAAACTCAGTAGTTTTAGTTGTCATGTCTCTTAAGTCTTCTTTAGTCAGGAAAAGTTCTTCAGTGTTAACTTGAACTTCCTCCTTCCCCTTCCTCCTCCTCCTTCTCTCTCTGTCTCGCACTCACTGTATTTTTCAGTACTGGTGTTGAACCCATGGTGTAACACATGGTAGGCAAGTATTCTACCATTGAGCTTCATTCACAGCCCAATTTGACCTTCTTCTTCTTCTTCTTTTTTTTTTTTTTTAATATTTTTTAGTTGTCGATGGACTTTATTTTATTTATTTATATGTTGTGCTGAGAATTGAACCCAGTTCCTCACACATGCTAGGCAATACTCTTCATTGAACTACAACCCTAGATCCCAATTTGACCTTCTTGACTTTTTAGTTTTGAAAATTACAGACTAGTTATTTTGTAGAATGTTTCATTTAGATTTATCTGATTTTTACTTGTGAGGTTATGCAACTTAAGCAGGTACATTATATAAATGAGACTGTGTGCAAGGCATGGTGGCACAAGCCTATAATCCCAGGAACTGGGAAGGCTGAGGCAGGAGGAACCCAAATCCAAGGATAGCCTGAGCCACTTAGTGAGATTCTGTGATTTGCGGATGTAACTAAGCAGTGAAGTGCCCCTGGGTTTAATACCCCTATTACAAGAAAAGTTCTTCAATGTTAACTTGAACTTCCTCTTTCCCCTTCTTCCTCCTCTTCCTCCTCATCCTCCTCCTCCTCTCTCTCGTCTGTCTCTCACTCACTCTCTTTTTTAGTACTGGGTGAAAAACTACTGTGTTCTTACTGCGTCCTTTCAAATGGCACATGATTTAAAAAAATTATAGTTATAGAGGGTCAGAATGCCTTTATTTTATTTGTTTATTTTTATGTGGTGCTGAGTATCAAACTCGCTGCCTCACGCATGCTAGGCAAGCACTGTGCCCCTGAGCTACAGCCATAGCCCACATGATTTTGATTTGTCTCATTACTGGTAAGGTTAACTTTGATAAAGGTATTATCTTACTAGGCTTCTTTAGTCTAAGGTCATTCTTTTTAACTTTGGTAGATAATACATATTTTGTTGGGGAGGATCTTCAAGATTATAAATATTTCTTTATTCAGCTTTAATTTATGTCAAAATTTAATTATTTTAGTATGCATTCCTGTTTTATTCAATGTGGTATTATTCATTACTATCATTACTTATTTTGCCCATATTGACCCAAATTTGAAGTCTTCTGTATTCTTTTTAAAATATTTATTTTTTGGTTATAGTTGGACACAATATCTTTATTTAATTTACTTATTTATATGTGGTGCTGAGGATCTAACCCAGGGCCTCGAACGTGCTAGGTGAGTGCTCTACCACTAAGCCACAACCCCAGCCCTGGAGTCTTCTATATTCTTTTGATTTTTCTCTGTTGCTCATTGAGTACTTCTTCCTAGCATGACAAAATGCTCCAAGCTCATCTTCTCATACTTTCTCTGCACCAGCCTGAAATTGATTGCAAAGATATAGTTCTTTTTGGTGGAGAATGATATTTAGAAGCCAAGAATTTGTGTGCATATACATACATTTACATCTAGGTTTCTTTATTTATATTGAAAACCATTAGGGTGTCTATTGGTACCTACAGTTCTCATTTACTATAACAGAATTTATTCTAGCTTTCTCCTTTTCCAAATAAATAGTGCTTTTCTTAGCAGTGAGAAATATGGCTCCCATTTATGTTTATTTCTATATATCCATTTTGGTTAATCCCCTGGTGCATAAGCAATATTCTCTCAGCTGCCATCTGCCCCTAGACATATCCTCTCAGCCCTGCTCTGATGCTCTTTTATCCTTCTCTGGTTCTGACACCTCAGTAAGGTGATACGCCTTAGATACCATCCTTGTCCTTGTCAGGTCCTATCTTCCTTGTAGGATTGCCTCCCTGTGCAGACATCCTGCTTACCCAGAGTTGTGCTGTTACGTAGATTGTCCCGTGCAGATCGACTCATGCAGCTCAGTCATCTCTGAAATACAATATCTCTACACTTACCTTGCTCAGCCCTACAAAATGGCTATGGAACTGAGTTTCAGGAAGGACAAAATAAGAACTAAATTTGCATGTTTTGAAGGCTGTAGTTAGGGGTTTTGCCATTCCTGTACTAACATATTGTTTTGTTAATGTTGACTGTTTTTAAATCAGGAAACCTTTTGTATAGAACCTATCTTTAATTTCTTAGAACCTGTGAACCCCATCTTTGTGTATGGTCATTTTTTTTTACTTGTATAAAAAATTGCTTATTAAATACTATTATATTTTGGTGTCAGTTTTGCTGTGCACTTAACAAGGTAACTTTTTGCTTATCAACCTGGTTCACATAATATCTCTTGAAAATTTTAATCATTTTTTAAATTTGAGTCACTTTGTAATCATAATTATGTGATCAATCTGTTCTTCAGTACTTAACTATATAAGAACATACATTGTCTAATTATTCACTGTAGTGATTAATTTGCTTATAGTTAATTGAATACCTTGGAAGAGTGTGGCGTAACATAATATTTTATCTTGAGGTTTAGTAGTCTTATGTCTTTGTTTAGTAGTCTTTGTCTTGTATCCTGCATGTTAATCTAGTGTTCCCCTTTCTTTTTGTCTTTATGCCTTGTACATATGTTTATTGTGTCCATCATTATATTTGATTTTAAATGTTTCTGTTCTTCCTCACTAGATTGAAAGTCCATTGATAGAGGAGCATGTATCTTTTCACCCCTCAGTCTCTGGGGCCTAGAAGAGTGCTTGGCTTATATCCAGCATAGACCTTTAAAACTTAGGGACTGGAAGTTTTTGTTTGGAGCATGTAGCATGCAACATAATGGTGCCATCTTTTTTCTTTTTAATTAAAAAACAAATAATTCTTAATTCTTGTAGAAGCTGGATAAGAAATCATCTCCATCAACAGGAAGCCTAGATTCTGGAAATGAGTCAAAAGAGAAATTATTGAAAGGAGAAAGTGCACTGCAGCGGGTCCAGTGTATCCCTGGAAATGCCAGCTGTTGCGACTGTGGTCTGGCAGATCCTCGGTGGGCCAGCATCAACTTGGGCATCACCTTGTGTATCGAGTGCTCTGGAATTCATCGGTGGGTTGTCTGTCTAGAGCGAGAGACTTTTTTTGGATAAACACATTGTTAAAAAAAAAAAAAGAAAAAGAAAGTTAATTGTATTCCATTTGTGAGAAGATTTTTTCCATTTCTCTAATTCACTACTGGTTTGTATTTTTGTACCATTTATCTGTAAAGCAGATAAAATTCTGGTTTGTGTGAAGTGCTTTTGAGGACTTTAGTTCACCATTCATTACTAACCAGGAGATCAATCCCTGTTTGCATGTGTTTGCATGTGTTTTGAAGGCTGTAGTTAGGGGTTTTGCCATTCTAAAAGAGAAAAAGTGTTTTTATGAATATGTGAGTAGAGACTTGATAGTTTTATATTAATAATGCAGTCTTTTTTTTTCCCTAATATAGGAGTCTTGGGGTTCATTTTTCAAAAGTACGATCTTTAACTTTAGATACCTGGGAGCCTGAACTTTTAAAGGTAAAATGAATATTTGCGTGAAAATATTTATTTTCACATAAAAGTGATGATTTCAGAATCTTGGTTTACAAATCTATGAGTTACTGTTGTTATGGATGAACTAACTTGTACTA